ACCATGTCTCGTGCACATGTGGCTTCTACCAGTTCTCAAGAGAACTCCAGATCGAGCTCCTCCCCCTGGTTTGGTGGTCTGTAGTATACGACTACAGTTAGGTCTCTCTCACCACGCCCCCCCTATAGTTTGACCCAGAGGGTTTTGAGCTGCTCTTTGGAGCTGATGTCAGGCTTCAAAGAGGTGTACTGCTCCCTCACAGAGAGAGCTACACCTCCACCTTTCTTCCCTGCTCAGTCTCTTCTGTGTAGGGTGTAGCCTTCTATGGCTATGTTCCAATCATGTGAGGAGTCCCATAATCCCTACTAGATCATAATGCCCACCGGAGAGTAGGAGGGCTAGCTCCTCCTGCTTGTTCCCCATGCTTCTGGAATTAGTGTACAAGCACCTGAGTCCTCCATTTGAGACCCTCAATTTTCTGTCATGCTGGGGGAGAACCATTCCATCCGTTCTTGCAAGAGTGGCTCTCTTAGTGTCCCCAACTTAAGAATCCTAAGCCTAAGAATCGTCTCTGCAATATCCCAGGTGCAAGTCCTAGGGAGCAGACTGCATGGGTTAAGGAGTCCAGATGGGAAATGGGTCCCTCGGTGCCCCGCAGGAGAGATTCCCCCCCCACCCCCTGTATCTCCTCTTGGGGGTGGCAGTTCGCTGACTACCCATCTCCTCCTTCAGTGTCTCTATCGGAGCCTCCTCATGCATGGTAAGGGGAACTATACCTGTTGTGCAGTGCTAAGGGAGGAGCAGCCTTAGCCTTGGATGTCCTGGAACCTGAGACGACTGTCTTCCAGGTAGCTCTGGGTGGGTGTTTTCGGGCAGCCTTCTTGTTGGCCACCTTCTCCTCTATCTTCTACTCTTCTGAAGAACGAAGAAGAGCCTGACTGTAGTAGTCATCAGTCTCCTGCTCATGGACCCTGAAGGCATGAAGTGTGCCTACCTGGGCCTGGAGCTCAGTCACCTGGGACTCCAGGGACATCACTGAGGAGCATACACCACAGGTGATGTTGCTCCCATTCCCTGTTGCTGACAGCCGTGCCAGGCAGCCCCCACAGCCCAGTCCCAGGGGCTCCATCTGGGTGGAGGCCGGAACCAAGGGTTCGGTCTGGGCGGAACATATCTAATACATGTCAGCAGTAGGCGAGTTCTACACAAAGGCAACTGCCACTTTCTTTTAAAAAACATGTCTGGGGAACAGGTGCTGGCTTGATGTATGATGCCCTCTTCATCCAGCAGTTTAGTGATGAGAGTGCTGATTGGGATGTAGGAAAACTGGATTTGTTCCTGTGGATTGAAACCTGTACGTCTCACTTCCCAAGAGAGTGCCCTAACTGATATCTGTTTGGCTAAAGAGAGGGAGCTAGAGAAAGTAAGAGTCTCTAGCTCAGTGATTGGGGCACCTGCTGGAGAGGGGGGCAGGGAAAGATTTGAGTTCTGGTTCCTTCCCTGAGGACTATTAATATATTTTATTTTAAAATGTCATTGAATAAATTGCATACACAGTCAGTAGCCAGAAGAAATAAGGGTTATTTCTAAATTAAAATTATTCTAAAATTACAATGGGTGTTACTCAAACCATAAATTCATTGAAATTGGACTTCATTCTTCCTCCCGTTACAAATTAAAATTTAACAAGTTGTTTGCTTCTAAGTGCTGGCTAGTTTTTACTTATTAGTTTTTATTGCTTTCCAGTTGTAGGAAGTCCCAGGATGTTTAAAAACATCCCTGTTGGCATCATGAATGGAGGACTATACAATGCTGGTTGTTGGAACAATACGCAGATATGAGTTTGGGGAAGTTAGACTAAAGTGACTTAAATATACAATATAGTGAATATTACACATGTGAAATAGTTCATATAAAGAGTTTTGCTTGTTTAAATGTTACAGCAAATGAAATGTGGAGGATGCAGAGTCACTCCTGTAGCTATAGGATGGTGTGTGTATGTATATATGTGTGCGTACACACACACACACACACACGGCTTATGAGGAGAGGCTGAGGTAACTTGGCTTATTTAGTCTAGAGAGGAGAAGTCTGAGGGGGGGATTTAATAGCAGCCTTCAACTACCTGAAGGCGGGATCAAAAGAGGACGGAGCTAGACTGTTCTCAGTGATGGCAGGTGACAGAACATGGGGAAATGGTCTCAAGTTGCAGTAAGGGAAGTGTAGGTTAGATATCAGGAAGAATTTTCTCACTAGGAGGGTAGTAAAACACTGGAACAGGTTATCCAAAGAGGTTGTGGAATCTCCATCCTTGAAGGTTTTTAAGACCTGGCTAGACAAAGCTTTGGCTGGGATGGTATGGTTGGGGCTGGTCCTGCTTTGAACAGGCGGTTGGACTAGATGACCTCCTGAGGTCCCTTCCAACCCTAATTTTCTATTATTATTGTGTGTGTGTGTATGTTTGTATGTATATATGCATGTGTGTGTGTGTGGGGGGGAGGATTTTGCATCCCCCTCAGTGTGCAGTTTTGTATTACACCTATTATTATTATCTACACTTTTTTTTATGAGACTGAGACCCTAAAGCTTTAAAATAAAGATGCCAAAATACATTTACCACAGACTTGAAGGCAAATATTCATACAGAGGCAGCCCTAGGCTTTAGAAAAAATTGTTACTGAAAGGTAGACTTAGGCTTCCATGATATCATCAGAAAGATAAAAATATCAAAGCTAGGCCTTGGGCACTAATAAAAAAAAGTCATTCTCTGATGACAGTTTTTATATCTGAAAAGAAAAATATTAAAAAAATTATTTGAATGGAAACCTTCCCAAATATTTCTGCTGTATATTTTTAACATCACTTATTCATTTAGTTCAGTATAACAACAAAAATTAACTTTAAAATGTGATTTAATTTTATTAAAAACAAGGAAAGAATTGTCATTTTCTCTGTCTGCCTTTGTGCCCCAGGCTTCAGAAAGATTGTTTGCATAGTTCCAGGCCACCTAACAGATACACAGCACCTTCTGCACATTGGATGTCATCATTTTGTAACTATTGCTAACAATGTTGCCATTGGCTCTCCTGCATACCATACCAGTCTCTTAGTGCTGTACTGCTTGCGCTTAGTATAGCGTGCTGAGTGAAGGACTGGCATTCTGATTTAGACAAATCTCTTCACTACTCTGCCTCTCAATTTTCCTGTCATTAAAACTGGATTAATGATGCATATGTACTTCCAGAGATACAGTGAGGGAAAATCCAATGCTCTGTATATCTAATCTTGTTTTAGTCTTCTTTACATTGTTTCAAGTGCTTAAAGTAGATGTAAAGCTATTTACTTCCAGTATGAAGGCCGGTGCTTCCCAAATCTCTAACCATAGCATTCTGTCAGGTTGATCCTATAGGCTGCTTGTACATGCCATGGGGTTTTAATTTGGTTTAGTTCTTGCTAAATTGATATGGTGAGTTTTTAAAAACACTGCTTCAATTTAGGGAGAGTTAAACCGAGCTAAACCCCCCTGGCCTGTACATGAGGACGGGGGCCTGGTCCTCACCTGCCTCCTTGGTGGGAGTGAGCTGCCGGTGGGCCAAGCGGTCCCTGAGCTGTGTGGGGATCCCCCAGGCAGCACCTACCTGCTGGCACCCAGCCTGGGCGGTCCAGGGGGGAGCCACAGAGGGAAGCACTGTCCCCCACTCCCACAGCTGCAGAGGGAAGTACCGGGCCCCTGCACAGCTCAGGCTGACAGGCTGTGGGGAGGAAAAAATAAAGGATAGGTCTCACTGCCTTTTCCCCCCGCTTCTTTGGAGCCTGCCTACATGGGCTGCCATTGGGTCCCACAGGTCCTGAGCTGTGTGGGGCCCGCCAAGCCCCGAGCACATCAACTTTCAGTGCTCTATCCGCTGTTGCACTTTGTTAGGTAACAAACTAGAACACCTCAGAGGTGTTTTATCTTGCTACATACCAAACTCACTTAAAGTGGAATACACCACCCAGCATGCAAACAGCAACACCATTTAAGTGGAACACACTTCCAAATGTGCAAACAGCGATGCCATTAAAGTGGTGCAAAAGGGGATTTAAGCCACTTTAAAGGACAATTTTGTTGTGTGTACAAAGGCCTATAGACTATAGAGCTGATTCAGAAGTCTCTGTTTTAGACTGTAGAAGTCAGAGCAACCTTATAGCTGCTCTGTTTTATTTTTGAGGACAGTCTAGTCCACAGCTGCCCCAGGATTGGGAGCGAAGTAGTAGGCAGTGGTTCTCAACCTTTTTAGACTCAAGACACCCTTCCAGAAATGCCAGCTCTTAGCTCTCATTTATTTTTAGGTACAGAAAAAGAGCAATTATTCTGTTTCAGAGAACTCAGAAAGACTACAAGAACTCAGTGTTTTTGACATTATGAATTCCTGTTTGATATTTCTGGGTTTATCTTGTGAATCATGTGTAGATGTTTGCACATCTAATGGTATTAATATTGCGAGGCACTCTGTGGCACCATTAAAAGGATCTTGTGGTACCCCGGGGTGTTGGAGCACCCTGGTTGAGAATCACTATAATAGGATATATATACATGGCATAGCTGGCATGCTGGGGGAGAGGCGGAAAGGAAAGAAATGCTCTTAAGTCTTTCCTGCCACCTATGGTTGCTTGCACATGCCAAGCCCAGAAACACAGTGGTGTAGCTGCTCTGGGGAGCAACAGTAGCAAATGTTCCTGAGATTTCTGTCTTTAGTGTGCTTGAGAGCAGCTGCAGTTTGCTCCATTTCTGTTTGCCATATGTAAGCAGAAGCAGGTAAGCAGGCTGGGCTCAAGAGCAACTCTCCACAAAGAGTGGTGATGCTTCATAGGTATAACCAGAGTGGCTACATCTACCCATGTTTCCCTGTAACTGAATATGTGGCCCAGTATTTGTAATGTTCTTTCACATCGTACTACAGCAGGAACTATATGAGTGTAAACTGTTGTTATTTTTATTTAACATTATTACAATAAGAGATGTTTTTGGGTGATGTATGATGCAGAGTACTTCATCTATTGCTTTATTCTTACCTCAGCAAGTTCTTGACAGTTAATTGAACCTGGTATAAATGCTAGTATCCTATGGTGTGGAGAGCTGTACTTTGGCATTAATTTTAGGTGAGTGGAATGTGTTTTGTTTTGTTTTTTTATTTTTTGGAGCATTAGGAACCTATGCTTTATGAAAATTACTACAGTTTTCTTTCCTTGAGTACAATGCAAGAAGGGCTTTTAAATCTGAATGCTACAGTGTTGTTTTGAGGAATAAGTGCTCTCTTTAGTCCTGGTAGTCCAGTTAATGACTAGTCCAATATCATTGAATTCCGTGGGAATTACTTGTATACTACAAGAGGATAAGGTAATCAGTCCCAGGAATATTTGTAAACCAGTAAGAATTTATGATTGTCAGGTTGAGATCCAGTGTTGTTTTGCAAATGAAATAATTAAAAGACTAAAAAGTATTATTTGGGGTGCACTAATTGAAAAAATTATGTAATTGATCCAGTAGAGTAGTTTTGTATAATTCTTTTATCTTTTAAGTAATACAGCAAAATTAAACCAATTTCAAACTAAATAATTCTTTTTTATAATTTTATCACTGTACATTATTTTAAAGTTAGTTTAGTTCAACTATATTCGGACTGGATGATCTGCCCAGGTCCCTTCCGACCCTAGAAACTATGAAACTATGAAACTTCCAAATGCATTACCATGTTTAATCTGTTTTCTGCTATTTTCAGTTGGTAAGCATGTAGATCTTTGGTTTCAATTTGTTTCTTTAGACAATGCTAAGAGCATGCCTGCTGTGTTACAGAGTTGCTCTAGGAAGTGCCTTACTAAAGTACAGAAAATCCATTCTGTGTGTGCTAATCCCCCAGAGGATGTAATGTAGCTGCCGTTAGTGCATCTCTGGTCAAACACTGAAAACCCTGGGCATGCTTATTGACTGCCTTCAATGCAAGCCAAACTATATCCTTTTGGGATGTAGCATCTGTGGGTGGGTTGTGCCATGCTTCACTGCAGCATTCTCTAGTATGAGTCCCTTGACCTATGTGTTTGAAGTATGCAGAAGATATATCTATAGTAAAGCATTTATGTTAAAAAGTTCAATTGAATAGTAAACAGTGATTAAAATAAAATGAAGTTTTCTTACGACTTGATTTAAAAAGCTGTGTGCAAAAGAAATGGTTTAGGAAACAAAAGCAATACTTCAAGAATCGCTAGTTCACAATCATTTTTTCTAAATCAAATATCCCATTAAATCCCTTAAAATATTAAGTGATTTTTTTTCAGCATATAGGGATATATTATAGGGACATGTGCTGCAGGTTGGCTGCCTGTGTTTTGACAGATATGAGGAAAGATGTTTGTCCCTATGTCATAATAGTCATGGTAACTGTTAAGTAGAGTGGATGGAAGAATCTACCCTTCCTTTACCTAATTATTACTATTATATTTTGGTGCATTTTCTTCAGTGTTATAGATCAGCACTAAAGAATTCATGAGTTGTTCTTCAGAATTAAAACCACAAGCTAAATTATAGCCTTATGTGGTCCAGAGAGGCCTTGGTATGAAGCTTTGTTATATTAAGGACATTTTCAATATACGGTTATTACAGTTTTATTTCTAACTGTACTGGAGCCTATTATAGATAGTTCCTTTTAAATATTTACTACAATAAATTACACTGTTTTGATGCAGAGTGTAGCTTTATGGAAAGGGTGGTGTTGTACTTAATCTGATTCAGAAAACCCTTTTAGATATTATAAATTATTTCTGTATGCACATTAAATAGCTTATGTAACTGGTCTTCAGCAGCATTACTAAATAATACAACATTATTAGGCTATGATTGTCTTAACTTGTTATCCATAGAGCAAGAAGCTAAGTGGGCAGTCTGACTGTTAACCTCTATGGCTAGGTACAGATGTTTGGGGAGGTTAGATTGCCTTAAAAATGGCCACCCAATCTAATTTGATTTACCCATATGCAGACATTACACTTGGATTGACCTAACTTGGGATCTAAATGCAAACATTACAGAAGTTCAGAAAGTTTAGATTGGTCTAAAAATGGCCAACCTGATTGAAGTTAACTGTATCTCCAAGGCTGGGTTAGGCAAGGCTAATCTAACTGAACTTCTGTGCAGTTCCAAGTGCTGCCCCAGGGCTGGGAAAACCCAGCCACTGGCCCTGGCTTTGGGGTTCTACTTTTCCTACCCACCCCAATCCCAGCACTGGGCTATTTTTAGTCTCCTGACTTCTCATCCCACTGCTAGGGGGATAACCCCCCTGTTCCTGTGGACCAGCCAATCCCCCTAGAGATCACCAATTCCCTCCCTGACTCCCATCCTGCCAGCTGCTCTTAGTGCCGGAAGCCAACTGAAGTAACTGAGGGTGGGGAGAGAGGCTCATGGGATTTGAGGGGTAGGTTTTCTGGAGGGGGTGTTTTTCTGACAATGGGGGGAGTCAGGGTCTAAAAATAGCCCCTGGTCCCAGTGGGGAGAGAGGAACCCCCCCTCCCCCAACTAGGCCCTGCCAGCTCCCCTGTCCCCACCAAATCCTCTTGGACCCCACCAACCATCCCTTTCCCATGGACCCTGCTTGGCCTCCCAATCTTTCTAAGCCCACAGACTCTACTTACCCCCTGATCCTGCAAAACCCTCCTGGTCTCCATGAATAACTCTTCCCCACTTGCCCCCCGCCCCCCAACCCATTCCCAGTCCTTCTAACTCCCTTCCAGGTTCCACTTCCCCCTGATCCCTCTCAGATCCTGCTTGCTTCCTTCAGTTCCTCCTATGGACTTTGCTGGCCCCCCGATCCTCCCAATCTCCACCTCATTGGTTCCCCACCCCCCTCCTAACTTGTCTTAGATCAGCTCACCATTTTTAACTTGATCTGACCTCCCCCTAACTGGCTCAATAGTTACAAGCAAAGGGCAATAATTAACAGGTCCATGTCAGAATGGCGGGAGGTTTTGACTGGAGTCCCATAAAGGTCTGTCCTCAACCCAGTGATGTTCAATATGTTTATTAATGATTTAGATGTTGGCATAAGAAGCTTCTTGAGCAAGTCTGAACATGAACCAAAACTGGGAATGATTGTGGACATGTTTGAGGATGTGAGAGCAATTCAGAAGGATCTTGATGGATTGTAAAGTTCGGCTGGAGCTACCAGGATGAAGTTCAATTCAGGCAAATGCTATACAAATACAAAATGGGGGACACCTGGCTGGATGGAAGCTCTATGGAAAAGGACTTAGGAGTCTTGGTAGACCACAGACTCAAAATGAGTCTGCTGTGTAATGCAGCCACATGAAAAGCAAATGTGGTTTTGAACTGCATCAATAAAAGCATTAGGTGAAAGACACAGGAGGTGGTAGTGCCTCTACTCAGCACTAGTTAGGCCTCATCTGGAGTACTGTGTGTAGTTCTGGGCTACACATTTGAAAAAAAAATGTGTAAGCAAAGATGAACAAAGAAATATATCCTTTGGAAAGCATGCCATATGAGGAGAGGCTGAAGGAGATAGGCATGTTCAGCTTGTGGAAGAGGTACTTAAGAGGGGACACAATAGCAGTCTTCAGATACTTGAAGGGCTGCCATAAAGAAGAGTAAAGGCACCTTTTCTTTTTTCTGCAGAGAGGAGGATGTGGACAAATGGCTTAAAGTTGCATCAAAGTAAATTTAGATTGGATATCTGGAAAAAACCAAACATTCTTCACTGTTAGAGTTCTGAGGCAGTGGAATAGATGCCCTAGAGAAGCTGTAGACTCTCTTGAACTGGAGGTGTTCAAGAAGAGGTTGGACAGCCACTGGTTGGGGATCTAGGTGCACCATGGGTATTTCCACCATGGGTCTTTCCCATGCTTCTGGGCTTTACTGGTTGCCCCCCCACCACTCCTTTTTTTCTGCTGTGTGTATCAGGGTGTTTTTAAGCCTCCCAAGCAGCATTGGGTGTTGGTTACAGCTACGGCTGGGCACTTTAACTGGAGTGTGCTGATTTTTTTGGCTAGAAGCAAAGCTGGAAGTTTCTGGCTAGGGGGTCTAGCCCCTCCAAGACAATTTATTACATTTGGATTTTTTTGCTGTAAAAGCCAGATAAATTTCTGTCTGTTGGAGAAGTGTATCAATTTCTGCAAGTACAATAATAAATAGGTTCTACTTATGTTGTTATATAAAGAACATTCTAATACATAGTGGATAGTATTTTCCACAACTCCCAGACAGACTGGGCAACATCTTTTAGCTCTTGGGATGAAAAATTGACATCTAGCCAGAACAGCTGTGGGCATCTGTTTGGTCCTGAGTTTAGTCAAAGAGGATCACCATTTATTATTGAGATCCAACTGTAGATACCTTTCTCCCCCCAAATCTTATGTCCAAAGAGTATATAAAGGGGAAATGCAAGTAGCCTGAACCACTGCAAAATCATTCTGCCTGGCAATATCTTGTATCCTTTGGAAAACCCACAACTTTTCCATGGGGGAGAAAGATCTTTCATTATCTCTGAGACAGTATCCCATCCCAGAAAGTGTAAAAGTGCGGGAAAGAAAAGATAACCAGTGTGATTGGAGAGGAGGGGGATTATTAATATCTTCTATATAGCATAATTTAAGCAGATGAGCTGGTAAAAGGGGCAGGATTTTAAACCATAATCCTGCCATGCTAATAATAATATTAGTTAAAACAGAATCCATTCCCATCTCTAATCTCAGAAAAGATGAAGGAGTTGAGGGAGGAAGAGGCAGAAGAGCCCTAAGAAACTTGTTCTGAGGTATGTCTGCATCATTACTAGCAGCATAACCCCATACTTCAGCGCCATATAAGATCTAAGAGGTAACTTTGGCTTTGTATGCTGATATAGGAACTTGGACTGATTGCCCTGATGTGGTTTCATAAAATTACTTTATAGCCACAGCCAATTGGGCTGCCTTAATTTTAACTAACTGAATATGATGTTTCCATGATGGAGAAGCTGTGAATAAGACACCCAAATATCTATAGGTTTTGGCAACTTAGTTTGGTTCCCTCCATATTTCATGGATATTTCATCACACGGCTCCCCAATACATTATTTTGGATTTATCATAATTTATCTTTAAGTTATTTTGTCCACAAAGATGCTCAAAA